TTAAAAATGAAAAAAAAAGATCTGAACCCTGTCCTATCCTAAGCCATGCTCACACCTCCTGACACACACAAGAGCCCACTGCAACAGTCACTGTGTCAATCCACCTGGTCGAGGGTCTTCCTCTCCTTCACCAACCCTCCAACTTTCCAAGTATCTTGTCCCTCTCCAAAGAATAGCACCTCCTCGCAAGATGCCTAAAGTATGTGAGGCTTCACCTCCAAAGAGTACTCTGGCTGCACCCTTTCCAAGACATACTTGTTCGTTTTTTTGTCAGTCCGTGGAATGTTCAGTTCTCTTCTCCAACACCACAGCTCAAAGGCACTGATTCTTCTTCTGTCATCCTTATTTATTGTCCAACTTTCAGATACAGATACATAGGAAATAAATGAAAAGACCATGATCTGAAGCAGGACCACCTTGGTCTTTAAACTGACATTGTCATCATGTGCCAAAGAGTCAGAACCAAATCACAGTTTATCCTGAAGCTCATTTTCAGAGTCAGTAATCACATGGGAGGAGATTGCCCATCCTTCTCCATGGAACAGGAACCATGTGTCTTTGAGACTGCAGTGCAAGTTCTTACCTTTAGGCTATCAGAACTCCCTTTATATATATATATATATATTTGTCGTTTTCTTTCCTTTAATCTACAGAATTCTAGGTAGGACTGATCTGGTGAGTGTATACGAGCTTACTCAGCTTCTGCTCATCTGGGAATGTTTTCATTTCATTATTTTTGAAGGAATGTATTACCAGGGTGTTCGTAATTTTTTGTTGTTGCTGGGGGTTTTTAGTTCATATCTTTTCAATCTACATGCAGAACAGATTATCTGAGAGGCTGGGCTCTATGAGGTGAAATGGGACATCAGGATTGGAGATAGAATCATCAAAAATCTGCGTTATGCAGATAAATGACACAACCCTGCTTGATGAAACTGAGGAGGACCTGAAGTGCTTGCTGCGGAGGGTCAAAACCTACAGCCTTCAATATGGATTGAAGCTCAACATAAAGAAAGCAAATATTCTCAGCGAGCTCTAGTGGCCTAGTGGCAAGAAGCTGCACTGCAATCCCAGAGGTGAGTGGTTCAAATCCACCAGATGCTCTGCTGGAGGAGAGATCATTTCCTCCTGTACCAGTCAGATCCAACTTGACTATACACACAGACACAAAATAATAAAATTAAAATTAAAAAGATGAAATTTAAAAATTAAAAAAAGAAAGAAAGCAAAGATTCTCAACACTGGGCCAACTGGCAGCATCATAATGGATGATGAAGAGATTGAGATTGTTGACAGCTTCAGTTTGCTTGGCTCTATAATCAACACTCTTGTTACCAGTAGGCAGAAAATTAAAAGATGAATTGCATTGGGAAAGTCAGCTGTCAGAGACCTCTCCAAGGTACTGAGGAGCAACAATGTCCGTCTGGAGACTAAGGTGAATCTGCTTTCTATGCATCAGAGGGCTGGACAATGACTAGGGATGATGAAGGAGAATTGATGCCTTTGAGTTCTGGTGCTGGAGAAGAGTATTGAATATACATACCATGGACTGCTAGGAGAACAAACAGATTCATCCTGGAGAGGGTTAAGCCAGGTTGCTCCTTGGAGGCAAGGATTCTGAAGCTCTGTCTGACATACTTTGGACATGTTGCAAGGAAGGACCAGTCCTTGGAGAGGGACACCATGCTTGGGAGGGTGGAGGGACAGCTCAGGAGAGGAAGACCCCAGATGAGATGGATTGATTCCGACACTGGGATGATGGGGATAGGTGTGTCAGAGACAATAAGATTGGCACAGGATAGAGCAGGGTTTAAGGCTGTTGTACACAGGATCGCTATGAGTAGCAGGCGACACCACGGCACGTAACAACAATAAATGTTTTAATGAAAATTTTATGGAGGCGTATGGAAAATACATGCCATGGTATTTATTACAGTTGTAGGCATACTTTAATATTCCGAATCTATTGAGTATAAAATCAATGGCATGTACAGTTTATTGCTGACAATCTACTAACTTGAAGTACACCTTTCTTGTTTTCTGTAATAATAAAACTGTTGAGTATAATCTGTAATTGCATCTATTTTTACCTGTTTGTTTGCTAACACGACCAGAGGAAGGCTCGGGTTTGCTTCGATCAGCTGATGAAGGTGCTTTTTGGCTTCAGGTAATCGGCTGTGATCTGCAGAATCTACTACGAAGATTAGCAGCAATCCCTTGGACACGTATGTTTCCCAGGAAGAACGGAAAGGCTCACTGCCCCCAACTATAGAAGAGAGCAGAGGAAGAGTGCAATAAAAAGAAAATTAAAATAGAACAACCAGAAGGGACAAGAGCGAAAATACTGACACATAAATAATGCTACTTCATAAAACGGCTGAATCCCCACCTAAGCTGCAAGTGAGCCTTCACCGAAAAAGATCTTAATAATGAAACATTATTAAATAGAAAGCAATTGCAGGAGTGTCCACTGAGGAGGCAGTTCCAAATTCTTAGCGCATCCAGAGCAAACTTAGTAGATAAAAGAAAAATGGTGAGAATAATCATCCTTCACAAGAGGTTTCATACAAAGGGCGAGCATAAGTGAGGTATTAAGTGTAACGTGGGATGTCAGCTCCTGATCCTATTACACACAGAAGCCATCTGAGCTGAGCTACTGACTTCAGTTACTGCTCAGAAAATGGAATGAAGCTACTAAAATAAATCCAGGCAGTAACTTAAAATATATGTTGAACTCATGCATATCTTTTGTCCATTTTTTAAAAATCTGTCAATTATTGTTGTTGTTGTTATGTGCCGTCGAGTCACTTGCGACTCATAGCGACCCTATGTACAACAGTCCTAAACTCTGCTCTGTCTTGTGCCAATCGCACTGTCTCCGACACTCCCATCCTGATTATCCCAGTCACTGAATCAAT